TTTTTTTGTGAAATAAAAGGGTCCTTTATATATTTTGCGAAAAAAGTCTTTTATTGTCAATTTTCCACAGAGTTTACTTTAGTTGTATTAACTGGTTATTAAATTTTAATTCCTATTTCCATTTGCCAGCAGTTTAAACTTTGAGAGAAAGTTCATTTGGCACGCAAGTCTTTTTCAGGTGTACTTTTTCTTAGGCTTTGTATAAAAAAATACAAAAAAGAAAAAAACTGTATAAGATTGGTCGAATGAATGGCCGTCCTAGTCACCAGTTCCGAGTCTATTCGATTTTTAAGTATGAGCCCTTATGTCGAACAAAAGGGGGAGTATAAGGGACTTAAAATGGAGAAAATTTGCCTATGGTTACAGAAGATATGGAATAAATTAACTGACGAAGACCTGCGTGCCAAATGAACCTTTCTCTCAAAGTTTACACTGCTGGCAAATGTAAACAAGGATTAAAATTTAAAAACTAATTAATACAACTAAAGTAAAATCTGTGGAAAATTAACAATAAAATACTTTTTTCGCAAAATCTATAAAGGACCCTTTTATTTCTCAAAAAACCCTGGGTAACAGTTATTCGTCGCAACGCTGTAAATAAGGATTAAAATTTAAAAACTAATTAATGCAACTAAATTAAAATCTGTGGATAATACAATAAAATACTTTTTTCGCAAAATCTGTAAAGCACTCTTTTATTTCTCAAAAAAACCTGGGTAACATTTATTCGTCGCCACGCTGTATGTGTATTATACATACAGTAATTTAAAATATTAGAAACGCGACGTTTTGAAACTATTTAAATTTTATCTGCAAGTTTAATATAATTAATATACCTGCAAGTCATTATTTTAAACCTTTACATATACATACATATGTATATGGGGCATTCCACTCCAAAATGGACGAGGTTCACACTTCATGTGTTTGATTTGTTTAAAATTTTTAGGGTAGATGGACAAGCATAAGTAATAAATAAATACGAAATTTGAGCTTGATTAATACATTTTTAAGAACTTTACAGCACAAAAACAAAAACAAATCGATTTAATAGTTTTCCAAATATCTCGAGAACGGGGCGAGGAAAAAATTAAAAAAAAAAATCACACAAAAATCAAATTCACTATTAAAAGAAATATTTTTAAAAAAATTTCTTGAAAAATTTTTCACAAACAAATTAAAAAAAAGTTTTTGAAAATATGCCATCTCAAAAAAAAATTAAAATAATGGCAAT